GGAGACAAGGAGAATACTGGGTAGAGGCAGAGAGGAGCTGCCAGGGAGAGATACCATGTAGCTGAAGAAGCAGTAACAGAACCTAGGTTACCAAATCCTATTTTGTGTACATTCAGGGCTGTGTACGTAGCTGCAAGAGGTGGGGTTGTGGCATGGGGCCCACTGAATTGTGGTGGCATTATTTGGGGCTAATGGGCAGATGGACCAGGCTGGAAAGAAACTCCAGCTACATTGAATTGTTCTTTTGCTGTAAGATTTCAAGTCCAAAGCCATCCTTTTAGGCCAGGTGTTCATCAGAGTAGCATTGGCATTCATGGAATTGGCATCACTGGGAAACCCACCCCATCTTTGATCCTGTTCATGGTAGAGGATGTGATTACTAGACTGGAATAAATACAACAGTGGAACCAACACTGAATACATGGGTTGCTTGTGAGCCAAGAAACAGCAGTTCAGCTCCCTGCCCTGTTTCCTGGTAGCACCTCCTTGCGGTTCTCATTGCTCTAACCCAAATTATTGAAATCACAAGATGAGATAGAGATGGAGAGGACCATTTGACTTCCATGTGTTTTCTCTGCCCGAGTTTTGCACAGGATTCTGTCATTTCTTATACAATCAAATTTTATCCCAATAGTATCTCTACACTTCACATGCAAATACAGCATTACCTCATATGTACTAACCATACACTCCTATATGAGTGTATATATTATATATTAACTACATTAATTTTTGCAGTGAGGTCACTAGTAGTATATTTATGACTCTTACTTGCCTCAGTAGTAAAAGTTTATTTATGGTCATTTTTTAAAATATAAATTACAGGGTCACATTTTAAAGCTGAGCAGGATATATACTCCCAATGTCTGTAAGATTTACATGTAGAAACTCACATGTGCGTGTTGTGTTTGCCTTTAAAACTCAGACTCACAGTATCACAATAGGTAGCAACCATTGCAAGTACATATTTAGTTCGTATGAAATGAATACTCTTGTTTTAGCTTAAAGAGAACATTTATATCCTTTATTCATGGGTTACCAGAGTAAGTAATGTTATATTCACAGTGCACTGAATGGAGACAAATTGCTTTGTATGAATTTTTCACTTCGGTCAGTACTGTGTGGACTGAATGGAGGCACTGATAATGCACTTAACAATTTATAGCTTCTTATAGTTTTTATGCTTCAGGCAAAACAGAGATTACTGCCACCACAGCTTTGCTGTTTGTAGTGAGGATGCTCTGTTTAGGAAGTAGAGACCTCTTGGCTTTTGTGATCTTGGACCCAAACCTATGTCATCTGATTGCAGTCAGCACTTTTCTGTCTAGCGAACTAAACACAGGACATAGCAACCAATTGCTATTGTCTTAGTACTAAGGTCACCCACTACCATCGGGCTAAACAATCTATATTTTATCATCTTGTTAATTTCACCTTATCATTATTAAAGCCCTGGGTTTAGTATTTTTCTTATTCTGTTTTTAGTACATTGAAAACTGAAGGTTCAGAAAGTTTAGGCAACAGTGTCTGAAATGATACAGGCAACCCAGTAGAGAGGTTAGAGTTTGAGTACACAAATTTCCTGGTTTCAGATCTTAAGCATGTTCAATTGCATTCAGCCCAAGAGAGGATATAGGCTTCAAGAAGACTGGCTGGGTATCATCTTCTTGTTTTATACATCCAGCTATGAGTTTTAGGGTCCTATATGATATCAACGTTTCTAATTTATAAAAACAAAATTTCTCTGGGGAGACCCCTGCCATGTGTCCCTCCAGGTCCTTATTCTTATCTGTGAAGCATATAATACAGAATTCTCCACCTTAGCACATTACACTCCAATGTACTAAAGGCAGGATAGTCAAATTAGAACCACTGAAGGTCTCCATGGTGAATATGGTTTTATGGCACGCACCTGCCCCTGCATTCTCTGCCAGCTCCTTATCTCAAGTCTAAGGAGAGCATTTTCCCAGGTTTTTCTCACCCAAGTGTTCTTTTGTAACAACTATTGCCTCCCCAAAGTAGCATTCACCAAAGTATTAAATTTGCACCGCTGACAGTTCAACCCTACACCGGAGTTCCTGTCATTTTCAGCCAGTATTACTAATTTCTCTTTTAAATTTGAGAAGCTGAGAAAAGGCCTCATTGTTTTCCCCAATGCTTGCCATTTCATCCACTCATGCGCTCCTGGAAGGTCTGTGTTTGATGATAGAAATGAGCCTGGGAAATGGCGCTCATCAGAGCAAACAACACAGGGTGGAATTGTCCCCTGATGATTGTGATAACAAATCGAACTGCCATGAACCAACTCTATCATTTCTGCCTCTCAAATTATCTGTAACATAACAGACCTTCTATGGGGCTATTACCCAAAACATAGCAGTTGGTTAGTTTTCCCACATATTAACCTTCCGTGTTAGTCAGTAGCTTGAATGCAGCAGGCTTCCTTTTTGCTTGGGACCAGTTGCGGGTGTCCCCACCCACCCGTCATCATCAGCTGCAGTGTTGTTTGTTTTGGGGCATTAAACATCTACTCCTACCCTCCACTCCACGTTGCCTCTTGATTACAGCTCCTCCCTTGTCCGTGGCGCAGCCCTCTCTGCACCTTTTCTGGGCAGTTCCAGCCAATGTGAAGAGAGGAGGTTGTGTTTTTTATGCTTCTGAATTTCTGGCTCCTAGAATACCATCAGGCACTTAGTAGGCACTGGGCAAATGATGTAGACTTTACAGCCAATGCATGCCTGAGGCTTGGTGGCCTTGGGAGGCAAAGTCAGGGAAGAGGTGGCTCCTCACCTGTCCTGAGCCCTCGGCCCTGTTGCTTTGTGTCACCCTTTAGTAGCTCATGTGCGTGTCTACATGTATCTGTCCAGTTCTTTTCTGCATGTGCCTTTTGTTCTTCGGAGCACTATAGATGTGAGGTGGGAGCACTGGTGCTCTCATCTTTGGGCTTAGTTTCATCACTATTTGACCTGATAGGTTCTTTGGTAGCTCCAAGTTCACTCAGTCAGGTGCTGACATTCATGTGTCTCTCAGAGTCTCCACTGCTTCAAAGCAGGTGCTATGTGAGAGCTCATATTTTGCATTTTGATTTAGGGCATGTGTACATAGATCTAGATGTTGATAAAGGCACATCCTGTGGCCTGGCCTGGCATGCAGCAAAGACTCCTGAGGTAATAACTGTATATCTTTTTTTCCCTTTTTTTACACAATCTGCTGCTTTAAAACCTTACAGTTGTCCTAGTTGCTAATCCCATTTAATGATCACCTTGGGATAAGTAGAAACTTAGATCTCCACTTACTTGGTAGGAGAAAAAAATCAGCATCTGTGACTAAATTAAGCTCCTTCATCAAGGAGTCTGTGATCACTAACTTCTTCAGTGTAAGAATGAGGAGACCACAGCAAATAACCATGTTCCCCCATTAACACCATTGGAGGTGACTCTGTGCTGTGTGGGATCCCCTTGTCCTTTTACTTTTTACCCAGTTTGAAAAGACTATCAGAACTAAACTGGGTTGTATCCTATAGATGGCTTAGTAATGCTTACCTTACTGAATGCGGGACCCTGACCACAGCTGGAGCCTGAAATTAAAGCGATCCATTCATTTCTCTCATCATTTATCCTTTTAACAAGCATCTGGGCTGGTACCATTCAAACTGCAGTAATACAGCTGCGAACAAAACAGCCAGAAATGTATGTTATTGTCTTTGTTAGTAATA